TAAAAGACTTTACTAAAGTCCAAGTAAACCACATCTACCACTCTGCCTTCATCAATCTTTTTGGTTACTTCCTCAGGGAAAAATAACTCATTCAAGTTTGTGAGACATGATTTCTCTTACTGAAAACCATGCTGCGTATTCCCTAATCATTCCTTGCCCCTCCAAATGCATGTAAATCCTATCTCACAGAATTGCCTCCAACAATTTACCCACCACTGACGTCAGGCTCACAGGTCTATGGTTCCCAGGCTTCTCCTTAACAGCTTTTCCGAAATAAAGACACATTAGCCACCTACCAGTCCCCTGGCATCTTGCACGTAGCTGTAGGTGATACTGATATTTCTGCTATGGGCCCCTCCATTTCCTCTCTAACTTCCCATAGTGTCCTGGGAGACACTCCAGCACTTGCTTGTCCGTAATGTGACCTGTTATCAAAATATCAATATTTATCTCCCTGCGTTCTCTAGCCTCCATTTTTTTTTTCTCTACGGTAAAAACTGATGCGAAATATTCCTTTAACATCTCTTCCCAACTATGGAGATTCAACAGAAAGATGACCTTGTTGATCTTTAAGGGGATCTACTCTCTCTAGGTGTACTTTTGCTCTTAATGTAATTGTACAATCTCTTTGAGTTATCCTTAACCTTATTTGCCAAGGCTATCTCATATCCCCTTATTGCCCTCTTACGAAAGCCCTATGCTCTTCGAGAGATTTATTTAATCCCGGTTGTCCATTTAATGATTCCTTTTTTTTGGTACTTGACTAGAACCTCTATATCTTGATTAATCCATCCTTCCCTAATCTTATCACCCTTACCGTTCACTCTCTCAGGAACAAAATGCCTCAACTCTCCTCATCGCACTGTTGAACGCCTCCCACTTGTCAGACGTCCTTTTACCTGCGAACAGTGTACTACAATCAACTTTTGAAAGTTCTTGTCTCACACCATTAAAATTTGCCATACTCCAGTTTATCTTTTATGGAAGGCTATCCTTTTCCATAACTATTTTAAAACTCATAGAATTATGATCATGAGTCCCAGAGTGTTCCATTGTTAACACTGAAGTCACTTGCCCTGCCTTATTACCGAAGAGAAGGTCAAATTTTGCTCCTTCTCTCGGAGGAACATTGATAAAGAAAATATTTAACAAATTCCTTGCCATCCAAACCTTTTAACGCTATGGCAGCACCAGCCAGTGTTTGGGAAATTGAAATCCCCTATTACAGCCCTATTCTTACATATATCTGAGATCTCGCTACATATTTGCCCCTCAATTCCCCCCCTTCCCCTATAGTCAGAGGGAGGCTATAGTACGATTGCATCAAGGTGATCATCACTTTATTTTTTAATTTCAACCTGTATATTTTCTTTGGGTGCTCCCTCAGAAATATGTCTAATTATGGAAGTAATATTTTTCCTTAATCAAAGATACCACCGCCACCTCCCCACCCTCCTTTCCGTCCTTCCTATAACATTTAAAATGTACAACATTGAGCTGCCAGTCCTGTCATTCATTCAGCCAAGTTTCTATAATGGCTATGTGTTCCCAGTCCTGTTTTCCAATACGTGGCCTGAGTTCATCACTCTTGCGTTGAAACAAATGCTGTTCAATTCTTCAGAGTTACCTTGCTCGTGTCTATCCTTTTACTAATGAAGTTGGCTATTCATTTTCCTGATTCAGAAGCACCCTCTCCTGTCTTTCTGATTTTCACGGAAACCCAGGAAACCCTACCTACCCCTCCCCTACAATCGATTTAGAGGCTCTTGAAATCGTTTCAGCTGGGTGCTTTTTCCACATGGTGGGGAGCTGACTGATCTGGTGACAGTGGACCATGTGGGGGCGGGTGCTACACCAGGTGGAGGGGTATATCTGGGTGGCAGGGAAGACCCGCGGGCTGAGGGCTTGGTACCTGCGGGGTGCGTGTTGGTTAGACGTTGACGGGGGGCATGTGTGCGCGTCTTTTGACCATGAAGTGTTGCCGTCCGGCTGGGGAGGAAGATCGCGGGATTCGATGCTGTGACTTGATCTAGCACCTGCCGCGTCCTCGTGTTGAGTGGCAGGCACGACGTTGGCGGCCACTCTGCACGGCCAGCTTCGGAGCGCTTGTGGTCAGAGTGTCTGTCCTTCCCACTGCCTGCCCTTGAGGTTGGGACAATGCTGATGTTTGGACGGGCGATTTTTGAGGTGACCAGGGTTTTGAGCACTGGAGATGGAGTTTTATCTGCTATGAACAAGACCTACAGGGAGGGGTGCTCCTTTCCCTTTGGCCTTGGGGTCCAGAAGCAGGGACTGTGGCATCGGCCATTGAGTCCAAACGAGAAGGCGTTTGGCGCGTTTGCCTTCATTGCTCAGAGCTTTGAGTGTAGGAGTTGGGGACGTCATGTTGAGGTTGTACAGGGACATTGGTGAGGCCTCTTCTGGAGCACTGCGTCCTGTTCTCTTTATAGGAAGGATGTTATTCAACAGGAGAGGGGTTCGGGAGAGATTTACCAGGACGTTGCCGGTCTGAGTTATAAGGAGAGGCTGGGACCTTGTTTTCACTGGAGCGTAGGAGGCTGAGAGAGGCGACCCGATAGAAGTTTATAAAATAATGAGAGCTTTAGATAGAGTAGATGGTAGGTATCGTTTCCCTAAGATGGGTAATTTCAAGGCCAGGAGGTACATTTTTAAGGTGAGAGGAGAGGGATTTAAGGAAGACATGAGGGGCGACTTTTCCTCAGCAGAGAGTGGTTTGCGTGTGGAATGAACTTCCAGAGGAGGTGGTGGATGTTGGTCCAGTTACAGCATTTAAAACATGTTTGGATAAGTACTTGGATAGGAAAGGTTTGGAGGGATGTGGGCCAGGAGCAGGCAGGTGGGTGGGAGTAGTTTAGTTGGAGATTATGTTCGGGTTGGACTGAAGGGTCTGTTTCCATGCTGTGTGACATTGAAGAATTTCTGTACTTGGAGGGTGGGGAATCTTTGATTCCCTGTCCCACAGTGGGTTCTGGAGGAGTGCTGCCTGTTTTGTTGTCTCCATATCTCGGGCAGGATGGATTTGTTATGGGGCGGTGTTTGGGGTAATTCGCCGAAGGGTCACTTGATTGCTGTAAGGGTGAGGAGCATTCTGTGGAGGTGGAGGTGGGGTTGGGGGTGGAGTGGGAGCGTAAAGAACGATTGAGTAAATTGGATTGGTATCATCCCTGCGCTTCGGAACGAGAGCTGATCTTGTTCAGACGGATGGGGTTATGAAAGGATGTTGACACGGGCTGGGGACTGGGCTGTGGGGGTGGGGGGGTGGTGTGGACAGTCTCGGGACAAGACTGTATCAGAACAGAGAAAGGACTTTCTTCACTTGGACAGTGTGAGAAGGGCTCTGAGAACAACCAGGATTGAATTGAAAGGGCGAGCAGTCTGGATGGGCTGAATGGCTGCCGCCTGCCACTTATTCATGATGCTTGAGGACTTGGTTGTGGTCAGGACACAGCTTTTCCAAAACACTGCACAGGGAGAAGGCAGAGCACCCTTTACTTTCTGTAAACTGAACATAAAACTCTTCACTGTTCTTTCCCCCCATGTCTTGTATGTCTGTATGGTATGTAGTTTGTGAGCTGGAGGGCACTGTTAGGGCCATGGTGAGTTACATATTGTAGACAATATACACTCTGTTGGCGGAGGGAATGAGTGTTGAAGTTGGAGGCTAGCATGTTGATTGAGGGGACGGTGGGGGGCCAACTTTGTCCCTGGAACGGTGTGGAGCTTCCCGAGTGTCAGAGCTGCCCCCCCACCCGTCCAGGGCAAGTGGGGAGTATTCCCTGCCCCTCCTGACTTGTGCCTTGTTGATGGTGGGGCAGTCTTTTGGGGGGGGTGGCGGGGGTGGGGGTGGTCCAGGAGGGGAGTTACCCGCTGCAGGATTCCCAGCCTCTGACCTGCTCCTGTAGCCACAGGGTTGATATGGGGCTGGGTCCCAGTTTCTTGTAACCCCCAGGATGTTGATAGTTGGTGGGGATTCAGTTATAACATAGTTGATCGTCAAGGGGTGATGGTTAGATTCTCTCTTGTTGAAGATGGTCATTGCCTGGCATTTGTGTGGCATGAATGTTGCTTGCCGCTTGCCACTTGTCAGTCCAAGCCTGGATATTGTTGAAATGAAGTTGTTGCTCAGGGTGTTGGACAGTGGGTTATCCGATGGCACTGTAGAAAGCAGGAGCTGGGTCGCCTTCACGTTGCTGTTCTTGGGAGCTTGTTGCTTATGAACCATCTATTTCTTCCTGTCTAGTGGTGACTCCTTTTCCAGTGTTGTAGCTCACTGGGCGTTGAAGGCTGTGAGGTGCTGGCAGCCGTGGATTTGATGTGTAGTGAGCAAAGTTGGGGGGGGAAGCCAGCTGATCATTAACCTGGAACATCTGCATCCTCTCTGCGCCTGGGCTAGTACTACCTTCCCAGGGCGAGGTGCGCAGAGGTGAATGCAGCGCTGTGGGCATTGCTGCATGAACCTGTCTTCGCTGACCGCCCCATTGAGAAGGTGGTGCTGATCTGTTGACACATTGATCCCTTTGCAGCCCTGTGGTATGGGTACTGCTTCACTGTTTGTGGGAGGGGAGGTGTGCTCGAGGATTTCAAACCCGCAACGGTGAAAGTGGGGCTGATCTACTTCCGAGTCAGGATGGTGCGTGGGGCACGGAGGAGAGCTTGGTGTGTGTGTGTGTGTTTGCCTCTGGTGGGTAGGGGCCATGGGTTTCCAAGGGTACCCTTGGAACAGCCTTGTCAAGCCTGCAGTGCGGTTCCTGCCAGGTACACACTGCTATGGCTGTGCGTCGGTGGTGGAGGGATGGAGTGGCAACTCGAGCGAAGCTCTGTGTTGGATTTGATGGGGGGGATGTGTAACGGACTTGGAGCATTTGGCCTGCAGTTTAAC